AGATAGGGCCCATTTTAGAAGCATGAGTTCATACCAGAGCATCAAAAGAGTGTGAAAAACAGACAAGGAAACTTGATGAATAATTATGCAGATTCCCAAATATCAGGAGGAAAAGTAGTTACATGCTTGCTCAGGGTTTTTGTTTTTTGTTTGTTTGTTTGTCTGTTTTTAATGGCTACATGTGAGGTAGCTCTTCCCTTTAGCTTCCCCTGAGTGGTTTTAGGCTGGACAGTTCCCTGCCAACATGTGGGGGAAATAGCCATCTCCTGGTATCAGTGGACAATAGAATTCTCCCTCAACATCTACTACATAGCATACCTGTATCACATTATCCTCATCAACTCCAACAGCATATTAAACATAGGAGGGGCTTGACTATTAAGAATATTCCACATGTGAGGAGATAAAAGCCTAGATTTCCCGGTGGTCATGGGAATGAAGAGGAGGAATAAGATTATCTTGATAATAACTTATTCTCACTATTAGAGCTTTAAAGCTGGAAAAGACTTTAGAAATCAAAGTGTCCACCTTTCTCATTTTACAGATGAGAAAACTGAGGCTCAAAGGAAGAAAACTAATTACTCCGAATTTCATAGACAGTGATGAAGCAAGCAATATCTGGTCTGTTCATTCAAACTTCACTGATTTTCCTTTCTGCATCATACTATTAGCAAACTTGGTTCTGGGAAGGGGGAAGGGAAATGGGGGAAGAGTTGAAGATGTGTCTGAATCAAGCTTTTCTATTCCATTCCAAGCCTATATAAAAGGCTGCCCACAGGATGTCCCTGTGGAACAATTGATCTCAGGAAGGCAAGTACATTCCTGGACTCCTTATAGCTACCACTGCCTGCTGGTTGCTCTGACCTAATATCCAGAGAGAGAGTTGCATCAATAAATTTAGTGTTTTGCATCCCTTCTTATCTAAAAAGAATAACATTCATTCCCCTTCCCTGTCAGACTTCTCATATCCCATTGCTCAAAGGAGCACCTGATTTAGAATCAGAAAATATGGAATCTTAGCTTTTCTACGTAGTACCTTGTGTAACTTTAAGCATGATGTCATGAATAGAACACTGGGCTGGGAAGTAGGAAGAACTGGGTTTGAATCTTATAGCAAATACTCATTAACTCAGCAAGTCACTAAATCCTTCTGAGCCTCATTTTTCTCACTGGTAAAATGAAAGTAATAATAGCACTTACCTCAGAGGATTGTTGTAAGAGTCAAATGAGATAACTAATATAAAACACTTTGCAAACCTTAAATGCTATATGAATGTGAGCTGGAATTATTATTATTGTCTTTTTGTCCCTTTGGACTTCAGTTTATTCTTCCATAAAATGAGATGTTGACAAGAATTATTAGTATTTCTGTATATCACCAATAGAACTCAGCAGGAAGAATTAGAAAAAGAAATTAAATTCAAGATAACCACAGAATGCAATTATGTTATATAAATACAAAATGTACAAAATACTGATTGTATAAAATATTCAGGAGTCTATCTACCAAGACACATAAACTTTTAAAATACAAGTACAGAATAGTCTTTACAGAAATAAAGACAGACAAGTAATTGGAGAAAACATTAATTGCTCATGATTAGGTCATGCCAATATAATACAAAGTATAATGCTGCCCAGAATTAGTTTATTCAGTATTGTATCAATCAGACTACCAAAAATAAAACCTTTGTAAAACTAGGAAAAAATAACAAAATTGGGGCAGCTAGGTGGCACAATGGATTGAGCACTGGCCTTGGAGTCAGGAGGACTTGAGTTCAAATCTGGTCTCAGAAACCTAACACTCATTACCTGTGTGACTCTGGGCAAGTCACTTAATCCCAATTACCTCACCCAAAAAAAAAAAATAAATAAATAACAAAATTCAGCTAAAGAAAACTAAAGCTCAATAGTCTCAAGAAAAATGAATGAAAAAAAAACCTTAGCAATCCCAGATCTCACATTATAAAATGAAGCAATAATCATCAGAACTATTTGGCAATAGTTAGAAAACAGAGAATTTGATTATGAATAGGTTTGCTACACAGGGTACAAAAGCAAATCAACATGGTAGCAACATGTTTGATAAATCCAAAGACCTCAATCCTTGTTTAAGAATGTAATATTCTAAAAAAAACAAAAACAAAAACCTACTAGGAAAACTAGAAAGCAGTCTAGCAAAATTATGTTTGGACTAATATCTCACACCATATACTAAAATAATCTTCCTATGTGTACATGACTTAGATATAAAAGGTTATCATAAACATCATAAATTAGCAGGGCAAGGACAGATATGTCTTTTGTAGTTATGAATAAAGGGACAGGGAGGATCACAAAAGATAAAAAAGTGCAATTTTTATTATATAAAATTAAAAGAATATTACACAAACAAAATCAATGCAAGTAAAATTAGAAGGGAAACCATCCACTTGTTCATTTCTCATGTCACAATGGTTGTCCATTACATTCATATAGCATACTTTGTTCAGCCATTTCTCATTTTTTGAACATCCTTTGAGTTTTCCGTTCTTTGCCACCACAAAAAAAAAAACTGCTATGAATTTTTATATTCATAGGGGACCTTTTTTTCCTTTCTTTGATCCCTTTAGAAGTATAGGCCCGGTAGCTGTATTTTGTGGTCAAACTTAGATGAATCAATGTAGAATAAAGTAAGCAGAACCAGGAGAACAATTTATGCCCCCCCAAAAGAAAACCCACACACACAACATTATAAAATCAAATAACTTTGAAAGATTTAACAATTCTAATAAACACAATGACTAACCATGCCCCCAGAGGTCCAATCGAGAAAAATACTACTCATCTCCTGACAAAGAGGTGATGAATTAAATATGCAGAATGAGACATGAGTCTATTTTTGAGCCTGGCCAAAGTAGAATTTTTTTTTGATGGGCTATGCATATTTGTTACAAGGATTTTTTTTTGTTAATACTTTCTTCCCTGGAAAAGGAAGAGGAGGAGGTAGGAGATAGAGAAATGCAAAAAAAGACCGAGACATCCAAATTATAAAGAGAAAAAGACAATTAAAAAAAGGTTAGTAAAAGGCAGATAAATCAACAGAGAAGATCCTAAAACTGGAAAGATAATAAGTAAAATCTCAAAGACAATACAAAATTATCCTAACAAATGTTACAACATGCAAGCAAGTGAATAAGTGTGTGATGAAAGACAAAATCCTGTGGACTCCCCAGAAAAGATAGAATAACAAGAACCCCAGAGTGGCTCAAAAGAGAAATGAAATTCACAAATGAAAAAATTAAAAATAAATATAGGTTAGAACTTAGAGCTCTTCACACAAATATTTTTTAAAAAAAAAATCAACTAGCAGACTAAAAAATAAATCTGTCTAAAGAAATAAATCAGAGATGAATATATTTGGAATAAAAATACTGAAATTGAGAAAATTTGTCAAAAAAGGAATAAGAAACAATGTAAAAAAAATCATATGAATTCTACATAAGATTGAGTGATTGACCTTGAAGATAACATACAAAAAATAACTTAAAAAACTTGAGTTACCAAGAAGAACATGGAAACTTTTTTTTTAAATATGAGTACTACAATGCAGGAAGTAATATGCGGAAATTAATCAGAATCTATGAATATAGACAACAAATCTGCTATCAAGGGAACCCATGGATCATTGCCTCTGTGCCATACATAAACTTAAAGACATGTGATGGTCAAATTTAACAATTTCACAAGTTTATAAGTACTAAGAGAAAGACCTTCAAATATGAAGGAAAGAAATTTGTATATCACAAATTTAACAATTTCACAAGTTTATAAGTACTAAGAGAAAGACCTTCAAATATGAAGGAAAGAAATTTGTATATCACAAGATGATTCCTTATCCATGAGAAATTACACAAAGGAATGTGAGTGTATTCCAGAAGACCAAAGGAGCTCAACTTAAGTGACTTGGTAGTATCCTTTAAATTCATTAAAAAAGTATCACCTTTTTTAAAAAGAGGTGATGTTCTTATTGTCATCTGTCACGTTGGTTTATTTGCATGAACCAAATTTTAGGAAGCATACTAATGAGTTGAACAGCATCCAGAATAATGACAAGCCTACTGATTGAGCCTTATGACAATCAGTTGAAGCAACTAGTGATATCTATGCTGAAGAAGAAAAGACTTGAGTGAGGGGAAGGTGATGTGATAGCTCTCTCTCTAATCAAATATTTGAAGTTCTATCATGTGGGAAAGGGATTATATTTATTTTGTGTAATCCCAGCTATCTAAGGGGTCAGAATCAGAAGTAATGGGCTGAAGTCATTGTGATGCATCATTAGATGTAAAGTATGAAAAACTTCTTGACAAATAGAACTATACAAAAATGAAAATGGTTGTTTTGGAAAGTCTTTGGCTTTTCCCTCATTTGAGATCTCCAAGCAAATGGTAGGTATGTCAGAGTAAATTCTTGGCTAGATAAACGCTTCTGAAGTTACTTCCAACTCTAAGACTCTATAATTATGTAACACCATCTTGAACATTTGATATTCTAATATCTTTTCCAGCTTTGACAGTCTGTATTCCACAGCTTCTTCTAGCTCAGACATTCTTTGATTCCAGGAGGTTATATGGGACTTCACTGTCAGCTATTCCTCTGATGTTGGCTTTTAAATGAATCTCTGATATCAACAGATTTTGTCTCTTTCTGTAAACAGCAGCTTTCAGACTATCTCCCCTCCACTTCCAATGGAAATAAAAGACTCAGTTATATGTGTGTTCTGGTTAATTGATGTTTGGTTGTGCAAATGTGTAGCACAGCTGAGATAAAAATGTATCTTACTCCAGGGAGTGTTCTCCCAAAGAAGATGTTCCTAATGGATTGAATATATTCAATCTTAGAGGTAAATAGCAAATGCTAAAAATTATAATTCAATGGTCTTTTAATTATGTCAGTTCTAAGATTAACTTTTATAATTCTTCTTTCTCTCCCCCAACCTGCTTTTTTTTCTCCTCTTCAAGGTCTACTTATCAACTGACTTGGGAAAGAAATGGATCCTGCTTCAAGAACGAGTGACTAAAGACCGTGTTTTCTGGTGAGAATTATTTTTTAGTACAAACGTGAAATGCAAATATGAGGTTACCAGTGTTTTTCTTCAACATGTCCCATTTCCCCAGCAAGGGTCCTGAGAATACTGAGTGTCAAGATCCTATGATTTCTCATATGGGCCACCCAAGAGAATAAGAGGTATTTTGGAAAGGTTGATAAAGTTTATAACTGTCAACTACCTCATGACTCAGAGTCATCATTGCAAAGGACTTTGTTGTTCTCTGCAACCAAGATCTCAGGCAGCTTGCTGAGTGGCCCAGTTCATGAGCCTTCATATATACATATATATATATATATATATATATATATATATTATATATATATATATATATAATATATATATATATATATATATATATATATATATATATATATATATATATATATTATATATATGTGGTACAAGGGAGGATAAATAGAAGCACTTCTTTCTCCTGTCAACATATTCAGCTCTGTAACCATGGTACAAGCCCAAGTTTAGGGAACACCACACCAAAGGTCTGGATTCTTCTACTTTATATGCTGCCTTAAGGCACCATCAGTGTTGGAGAGATACTGATATGGACCTTTAAGTACCATATAAGTACTTATTATTAGTCTTGATGTTGTTATCATCACTTTTGCATGCTCCTGCTGTCCCAAGGACCTTTCCATGATCGCTGTCAAAAAAGGCTGTGGTAATGTCCTCCATACTAAGGTGCCAACAAGAGATAGTGTGGCATCATGAAAATAACCTTGCATGATCTAGTTGCATTTCCCTCTCTACTATATACTGAGTAATTTTAGGAAAGTACCAACTTCTAAGGGCCTGTGTCTATGATTTGAGTAAGATTCCTTCCAAGTCTAATATGCTCTGGTTCTGTAACTAGACTTTACCGTGCAACATTCCAAGAGCAGAATGGGGTCAACCCTTCTTTCAGATGCTCCAACAGGTGATAGCTTGCAGTTCATCAACAAAAATTATTTAGCTTTTCTGGACCCTAGTTTTCTCCTCTGCAAATTGATGAGGTTAGAGAAGATGGTCTCTAAGTTTTCTTCCAGGTGTAATTCTTCCAATCAGTAAAAAGAATTCTGGATTTGTATTCAGAAAAACCTTGGTTTTGAATTTCATCTCTGACCCCTACTACCTGGATGACATTGGGAAAATCACTTGTCCTCTCTAGGCCCAAGTTTCCCCATCTATAAAATGAGCTTGGACTAGATGGCAGAGTTCTAAAGACCCTTCCAGCTTTAAATGGATAATCCTATATCTGATAACCTAAATTACTCCCCTCCCCAGGTGGAATCTGTATAGTAGCAGGAATCAGTAAAATGTAACCTTCTGCTGGGTACAACCTTTTCCATTTTTGGCCTTTGAATCTCCAAGACTTAGAACAATGCCCTTAATAAATATTGTTGAGTTTATCTCAGAATCAAAGCTACCAGATAAAGGAATGTAGTGGTAACCTACAGGATTTCAGGCCTAGTCTGATGTGAGGCATCCAGGAAAGAGAGAAGGGGCTGAAGTTGTGAATTCTCTCTGAACAAATTGCCCCCTGTTAAACATAAAAACAGATTTCACAGTTGTCTACTAGGTACACTAGTTAGGATAACAATTATGGCTTTCCCCAGAGAGTTTAGTGCTAGGTTGAACATGAACTGAACTTTGGGAAACTTAGAATAGACTTTTAATTAAGGTCATTTTTTAATGTTCGTGATTCTGTTATTCTGCTTCCCAATACATTTAATCTTTCAGGAGCTATTATCAATGCAAGTAAGTAATTATCATAAGATGTCTGATGTTTTCTTCCTGATAGAGTTTCTACACCATTTTCTTATCTAGTTTTTGCATAATATAAAAGCCCTCAAACTTATAGAATGTTAAGCCTTTAAGTGACCTTGACCAATCATCTAATCTAGCCATCTCTTTTTGCAGATGAGGAAACTGAGGTCTAGAGAGAGGATGCAACTTGCCCAATGTTACACAAACAAGGGCAGAGTCAATATCAATAGCAAGGACTCATTATTTCCAATTAAATGTTATTTCCTCTTCACCACATCACATTGAGTTATTTGTCTATATAGTTTGGCTTTTTTTGTTTGTTTTGTTTGTTTTTGTTTTTGTTTTTTTGTTCCAACCAGATTTTAATAGTACAGAAAATTTCTGTTATGGAAAGGCCTTCCACTGAGGCAACACATAAATTCCCCTGTACCTTATATTCTTAGAGTGGTCCCCAGGGTATTAAGAGGTTAAAAAAAAGTGCCCATGATTATACAGCTAATATGTGGCAATGGTGGAACTTAAGTCTGTTTTCTTATCTTTAGGATGGGCACAAAAATATCTTGCACAGCCTACTTCACAGTCTGATTATAAATAAAGCACTTTATAAACCATAAAATTTTATATCAACATTTAATCAGTCAGCAATATTATTATATAAGCATTGAGTTATTTTATGGAAATGGAAATCAGACTATATAATAAATCCAGAAGTGTATTCCTTTACCTCATTGTGATGTGACTGTGACCCTGGGTTCTCAAATTCTGTGCCCAGCGATCACAAAGTCTGGCAGTTCTACCAAGTTGGAAAGGCTTCAAATGTGTCATCGGTAATTGATTATGTATCATTGATCCCAGAGATCAGCCAAATTTGCCTGAGCACTCAACGCATGGAGGACTTGTTCAGAGAGAATACCACTGAGAAAAGCATGGATCATTTGAAGTCTTGCATAAATTTAAAAATGCCTTTGCACTTGGAAGGCTACTCTTCCTTTCTCTTCCTCTTAGAATCTCTGGCTTCCTTTAAGACTTAGATCAAACAACTTCTGCAGGAGGCCTTTCCTGGTACCCCTCTCCCCCTCACTCAAGTTGCTAGAGCCTTCTCCTCTAGGGTATCTCTACAGAATGTTGGCTCCTTAAGGACAGGGGCTATTTTTGCTTTTTTTTTTTTTATTGCTAATGCTTAGCACAGAACCTCACATACAGGAAATGATTAACAACTGCTGTTGATTGCATAACAGTGCTCTCTGTAGCTACATCTACTGGTAATATTTGATGTCATCACCATCATCATCATAAATAAACTTACATCTTTCCTATTTTTCCACATCTTTCACCATCCTTTCGATTTTAGTCCTTCCTACTAACCTTAAGTCTTTTATGGCTATGAGCAAAGCAAGGCTTTCCTGTGTCTGAGGAGCAAATATTGCTCTGGTTCTGGCAGAGGTCTATAATTTCCACAGCATGTACAGGAAAGACAGGGGTCTAACAGAAAGAGGGCAAATGCTCTTCCTACTCCACTGCACTCTCACCCCCAGGCATAAGCAGTAAGTATGGCTATCAGGTTTTTCAGCATTGGGTTGATTAGTTCCCAAGGATCAGGGGTTAATGCCTTCTGATACAGGCATCCCCAAGGGATTGGGAAAAAGTTTGAATGTTTTCAAAGTCCCGAGAATAAGGACAAGAGTTTTGATGTGAAATTTTGTGAGTGAATACCCCAAGGATTCAGATTTAGGGTATGGGCAAATCTCACATTTTACATGTTTCAGAATACAATGTTAGGCTAGGATGACCAAGGTTGGTAAAGAGAGTGAATCTAAAGCTTTTCCAATAAAAATAGAAAAATATTCTCCAGAATGAGGAAGGTGATAGATGATGGGACTCTTGTCCCCTGGGACAGAACACATCTGAAATACTATGTTCAGCTATGGCCACTATGGTTTTTTTCCCCCTTTTTTAATCTTTAAAAACAAAATGCTTTATTAGAAATGACATTAAACATTATAAAATATTTTTAAATTTTAAATTATCATTTGTTTTAAATTATCTTAAATATTTTGAACTTTTTTTTATTGTTAAATTTGGCTTTTACATTGTATTCATTTCCAAATATAACCCTCCAGAAGTAGTGTGTTCCCCATACTGCAGACCTTCAAGTAATAGCTACATGACCACTTACTAGAAACATTTTAGAAGGCATTCTTCATAAGAGAGAAGGCAAATGAGGTGAACTCTGAGTTCCCTTTGAACTTCATGATTCCAAGAGACAACTAGGATTTGAAATTATAGGATGGAAAAGGAGCTACCGTGAGACCTGGAGATCATTAGCCTAGAGAAGAGGGTGTTTTAAAATATATACATACATACAGACAGACAGACAGACAGACATATATATGTATATGTATATATATAAAATCATTTATTTTTACATTGCCTAGATTTCTGCCTGTATCCCTTTTGCTCCCTCTCTACTTCTGCTCCAGAGAGGCATAGAGGAAAAAATAAAAGAGATTAAAAAATCAACAATATTGCTCAACATATTGAAAAAGTCTGAGGTTATTTATAGCAAAGTTCCATATCAATAGACTTTAGCCTTTGTAAAGGTGTTGTGGAAGGTGACTTTTCATATGGCTTCTTACGGGCCAGCCTCATTTTTTTTAATTTTGCAACATTCAGTTTTGATGGTTGGGTGCTTGTCCTTTCTGTTAATATCATTGTGTATATTGTTTTCTGGGCTCTGCTCACTACATTTTGTGTCTGTTCATGGAAGTTATCTCCTCATGCTCTAAAGTGACTCTCCCACTCACACTGACAAGACAAGTCCCCAAAGAATAGATGACTGACTTTTAAACTCAGGGTTCTAGTGGATTGTGAGTGGCTGAGGGATGGTGGTCTAATTTCTTTTCATTTTTTTTATTTCTCACATTTTTTTGCATATTTTATTAATTTATTTTGATTTATCAACAATCACTTCCACATACTTTTGAGTTTAAAATTTTTCTCCCCCTTCCTCCCCACCACCCTTCCCCAAATGGTGCACAATCTGATATAGGTTATACATGTACATTCCTATTAAATGTATTTTCACATTAGTGAAGTTGTAAGTAAAAATTAAAACCAATAGGAGGAACCATCAGAAAGAGGCAACAAAACTCAACAGAAGAGAAAAAAGACAGCAATTCAACTTTCACGGTTATGATTACTATCTGTGTCTTTTTCTCCATCCT